TCTCTCTCTCTCTCTCTCTCTCTCTCTCTCTCTCTCTCTCTCTCTCTCTCTCATTCATAACCGTGAACCTGTTTCTTCCCGACTGACTGAAGTGAGCAGGGGATACTCGTGCTCTGGAAATCTGACTGCAGCCTGCTCCTTTTCCCTCATCTGGAAGTCTGATTCTTTCTGAAAGTTTGTTTCAAATTTTCCATATAGAAAATGGGAATGAAAATAATGCCTACCTTAAATTATTCACAGCCCTTACATATTTTCCTCTGGGTACATGATAAATTTTTATATTATTTTGTGCCTAGTATGGGTTCTAATTATACTGATAAGAGTCAGTTAAATTTTTCATTAAGATATTAAAGTGCATTTATTACATAAAGTCAATATGAGAATGGATTGAACATTGAAACATAAAATCCATGAAAACAGTGGATTCCATTCTCTGTATGTTTTAGGAGTCGAACCTCAGGGACTCAGAGACTAGGTTTCCCTTTACTTCTAAATTTTTCTTTCAAGGTAGCAACATCTATCCATGAATCACACTGACTAATTTTAGACAAAAAGATATACAACATTTTATCTTTTTGTAAGGTTCCTATTTAGTTCTAACATATTTTTAGTCTCAATTTTAAGTAATGAATATCTTCACCTAGGACCGAGTTTCTTCTGGCTTCATTTCATCTTAACCTGGCACAGCTGAGAGGGTGTGGCTCAGGCCTGAGTTCTCAGAAATGCTGAAAGCCTTTCAAAGCACTGAGCATCAATTGTCTAAATCATCTGCATCCTCCAAAAATGGAGATTTGTATTCTCAGAAGTGAAACATGAAATCTCCTGGCCTTAGAGTAGTGTATCACACTTTTTGGCTAGACTGAATGTTTGAATAAATACATAGCACCACCAAGTAAGCCTTATTCAAATATGTTGGTATAGAATAAAAGTAAAGACTATTCCATTCCTCACTCCATACAGGAAGATAAATTTCAAATCAATTAGGGAAGTGAATTCATAATACATAGAAGAAGGAAACATAGGGTATCTCTTCATAGAAGAAATCTGGAAATGGGAGAGATGTTTCCTAACTGAGCATCCTAATCAAAAAGCAGAAAGGAAATGATGGATAGATATAAATGGAAAGAACTGCTGGGATAAAACTAAGCAAAGTAGTAAAATCAATTGGAATAAAATATTTGCAACTTTTATCGCCCTTAGTATGTAAAGAATTCCTAAATGAGATAAGACCAACAGCTCTACAGAAAGATGGACTAACGGGAGTGGCACAGAAGTAATGCAGAAGCCGTTTAAGCACATATAAAAGTCCTAAAGTTATATTGTCGTTCTTGTTTGGGTTTTCTTGAGACAGTCTCACTTTAGCCCTGGCTAGCCTTCAACACATGGCAGTCCTCCAGTGCCAGCCTCCAGGTGCTGAATTTACAGGTGTAAACCACTGCACCCTAGCCAAGATACTAACCTTGAATTGAGTGATTCAAATTCAGACTCCATTGAGATACCATTCTTCACCTGTCACACGGGCAAAAATCACCAGGTTTGGCCAAGTTTTCTCTTGATTAGGCTCTAGAGAAATGGCATTCTGATTCATTATTATGGAAATGCAAAATGGAGCAGCTTCAATGGAAGAGAGCTAGACAGTGTCAGGGACCATTACTAATGGATTTGCCCTTTGCAACAACGTTCCTGTTTCGAGAAACTTATACTGGAATATATACTGTCAAAGATATACTGACAGAGAAGAACACTGTCATCTAGTATCAGACCACTGACAACAGCCTGAATGTTGTCAGTAATGGTCTGGATGAATAAGTATAGAAATCAAAAAGGCCACTGACATGACACAGCAGGTAAAACACTTGCTGTGCAAGCCTGGCACCCTGAGTTCAATCCCCTGAACCTACATAAAGGTTGAAGGAGAGAGCCACTCCACAAATCATCGTATGACCTCCACACACAAGTGTAAATGCCCTTAAAACATATAAACAAAGAAAAAAAAACTTTACTGAGATAGAGCTCCCTTGTTGAAAGTGTGTATTTTAAAGCCCTGAATGTATCTATGTTACACAACTGTTACCACATTTACTTTAATTATGCCCCCAGAATCTTGGTGTCTAGCAGAAGTTATTCTCCTTTTCTCCCATCTCTTTTTTTAACTCTGGTAAACATTAATCTTGGACAAATTTACCTGCTGTGGACATTTTAATGTTATAGGAAACCAGTTTAGGAGGCTGTTAGAATAATCTGGGCCTAAGTAATAAGGGCCTAAATTATAGTAAGACAAAGGAATAAGATATGAATAGAAGGCATAGCTATCAGAAAGGAATTTGAGGAAAGACAATATAACTAGCTAAAGGCTGAGCATGGGAATGACAGCAGCAAGAGCATAAAAGGAGATGGTCAGGCCACTCACCAAAGAGACAGTGTCTGCACCATTAGAAAATAGATTGGCCTTGGAAAAATCTTTCAGCAAACCTAGACCCCAGTTCTTAATATAAGATACTTAGTTTTATCCCAGCAGTTCTTTCCATTTATATCTATCCATCATTTCCTTTCTGCTTTATCTAATTTTAAATTCATGGCCATAAACATCAGGTAGCTCTTCAGTTCTGTCAAGCACTCACTGCCTTCCTGGCTCGCCCTTTCCTCTTTCTTAAAATTGTTTTACACTTTGTTTTCTCTCTGAAAACACCTCAACCTTCTTCTCTTGTGGTGACCTAATTCACATTTTACTGAGAAAAGCAAAGCACTGACAGGAGAATATCCAGTGCCTGACAGCATGTGCACGCATGTGCAGAGACTGTGCGTGTGTGCGGTTTCCTATGCCTTACCACCCAAAGCACTTCACTTCAGTGATGTATTTTCCCCACTACTTATCAGAGCGTTGTGCTTACCGTAGACAGTCATGATGTTAACATTATGAACATTGCTCTTTTTTCTTTGCTGTCCTCTTGCATTCTCTATCCTACGTACATGACTTTCTCAATAGTGACCCCCAGAAACATTGATTATCACAAGGGGCAATATTATGTGGTTCTATTTATAGAATACCCAGAATAGTCAACTCTGTAGAAAAAGAACATAGTTGGTATTTCCTCAGACTGGGGAAGATAGAGGCCTGGGGATCAGGAAACAGTTGAAGAACACATTGCTTTTATGAATATACCAAAAGCACATTTCAGATATGTTCACTGCTGCACAAGTGAGTCATACCTCACCAAAACTACACATAAAAAAGGAAGACACCATTAGGAGCATCTCCTGTCTACCCTCCACAGTTGATCCCCATTGCCACCCTTTCCAAATGAGGCAGCCAAGGCTCAGGGGGCTTAGGTGACTTGCTGAGGCCATACAGTCCAGTGAACAGCCGAGTTACATGTGTCTCTCTAGACAGTGCTTATTGCATATAAGTCCTGTCCCTTGAAGGGAAAGCCATTTTCTTCTGGGTGTATACAGTGCTCTTAGCACATGAAGTAGGCCTTGGTTAGTCCTGGATTAACATACCCTTTAGCCTTCTGTTTAGCTAAGAACATATAAGGGATTTTATAGGAAAAGATGTAGCACAAACGTTAAGAAAATAATTGATGTTGGGCCATAGGAACATAAGGAATCACAGGTTTATTCTATCTGTGTAGGTTGGTCATGTTTCTTATTTAGAACAGTATTTGTTATCTTAAAGAAGATTTGAGTATTTTAATAGAGAATTTAGAATGACATTATTGGATAATCTTAGATCAGTTACGTATTAAACTTTTGCTATATATTAGCACTAAGCTAGACTTACCTCAGTGGTTTGTATATTCACAAGATGGAAAACATTAACTATGTTGCACACTTGAAAGGTCTATATCTGCAGATGATATGAGACACATACTGGGATTTCCATTCCAGAAACCTGCCCGTTCACTCATCCAGTCAATCCACTGCTTCTTGGTAGTGAGACAGTATCTGGCAGAGAGCTTAGAAACAGTCACCGTGGAAGAAGGTCATGAGCAGGCTGGATCTGAATTCTGGAGGATGCAGCCAGGCCTC